TGGGGGGGGTGGGGGGGGGTGGTGCAGACTGAACGCAGGGATTTTTGCTCCACCACTGAGCTAAATTCTATCAGACCCATTTAAAGTTATTTCATTTTCCATTTTCTATATGGAAAAGCACATGTGTGTGGCTATTGTGGCACCCAGGGTCCTATCAGTGTTGATTACATTCACCTGGTTGACAGCTCGGCTCCATCTTTACATCCTTGCTGATTTCCTGTCTTTTCAGCTACTGACAGAACAGGATTAAGCTTCCAACACTAACTGTAGCTTTGTCTATTTCTCTAGCAGAGTTTGTTTCAAGGTTTTGAAGTTCTGTTACAAGGTAGTGATGTGCATATGTAGGAGCTTTAGCCTTCTGAATGAATCAATCTAGTTCCCACTATGGAATAAATATCCTTAATTTTTCCTGGTGTTGAAATACATACTGGGATGTATTTTGTCCTGATGGAACACTTATCTTTAGTCCTGTCTTGAATTCCTAATCTCAGGCATAAATTTCCTCTTTGCATATGATCATCTTTCTTGCAACTTTCCTCCTTATTCTCTCTCTCTCTCTCTCTCTCTCTCTCTCTCTCTCTCTCTCTCTCTCCTCTCTGAATTCCCTTAAGAAAGTGAAGACAGGTGTTACCATATAGGTAACAGACATTTAAGTGAATTTATTAGCCTGTATGCATTAGGGCATTTACTCTCTGCTCTTCTTCCTGGATTCATCCCTCCTGGGCCTGCTCTTGCAGAGAAGTTGTATTTTCCAAATCACAGACATGCAGCATGATCATCTGACTTGCTCTGACCAATGGAATGCAAGTTAAAAAAGGTGCAAGGCTTTAGGAGCCTTTCATAGTTCCTCTTCATCGTTGACTTGACTGGAATAAGAAAGCTTGGAAACACATCTCTAAGTGCGTCTATGAGGGACTTCCCAAAGAGGTTTTACTGAGGAAGGAAGACTCCCAACCTTAATGTGGGTGGCACCATTCTGTGGGTCGGGTCCCAGACTGAGTGAAAAGAATAAAATGGGGATGGTGAACAGAGCACCAGCATTCATCTCTTTCTGCTTCCCGACTGTGGACACAGTTTGACCTGCTGCCTCATGTGTCCACTGCTACGCCTTCCCCACCATGATGCTCTGTATCTTCTCAAAACATGCACCCAGTAAACCATCAAAAGCTGCTTTTGTCTGGTATTTTATCACAACAACCAGAAAAGTAGCTATGACAAGCCATTAATGGCCTTGCTGTCATGGCTTGCTTCCCTGCCGTAAGGATGGCAGGGTTCCAGGTGCAGCCTGCTAGCTCAGAGAGCAACTTAGAACGAAGACGACACAAAGCAGAGCAGGAATGAGTGGCCTGGCAGAACCATGAAGAAAAAGCCTCTGCAAGCAGATCACAGGGTCATTTGTTACAGCATGAGTTAGCTAACCTGGCTGTTGCAGGGGTTCCATCTCTCTTCTCATTCTATGTAAACATTATTTCCCAAAACATAACCCCTCCCCACTACATACCTCCCCCATAAATGTTTCCCTCCCTGTAAAAACCAGTCCTTACCTCAGTAAAATAGTTTCTTAGGAATGCCTCATTGACTGCTACAGCACCTTTTCGAGCTCCACTCATGTCCCTGGAGGCCCCTGTGGTTCTTGTGATCCTTAGGGCTTCACTGCCTGTGTTGGCTCCTGCTGCCCCTATAACATGAGTGGTCCCGGAAGTAAGGAGGCTCCTGCGTTCTTCCCATCGTCCGTGTCCGTCAACCTCAGAAAACTCATGCTGCCCTTTGGTAACGGAAGCAGAGCTACTTCCTTTCATGGTACTTTCCTTCAGCATCGCACCGCCTACTCCATTTCTTACTCCTGAATTCTCGTGATCCACCACCAGGAGCGATGGCACCACCTGTGGGCAAAGACAGCTCAGAACTGAGTCAGAAGGATGCAGTGTCAGTATGCTTGGTAGAAAGACGTGCACCAAGTGCATACAAGTAGGGAGGAGCTATTTCTTCAGAGGTAAATTAGGAAAAACAATTTGGGTTGAACAGTGTGTACCTGAGTCTTGTTCTGTCCTTCTTGTTTCTGAGCTGGTTGTGATCCACAGAGGACACAGAGCCCAAACTTCCCTGTATGGTCTTGGGTCACTCACTTTGCCAATACCAATGCATTTCAATGCCCCTTTGGGTTGGAGCTCTTCTGTTACAGTTACAGAACTCTGTAATTTTCATGTAATTTGTTGGAAACATGGTCATTCAAGATAAAGAGTTTGTCCAAGTTTTGGTTGCTACTAGAGAGTCTCCTGACAAGATCAAAGTGGACAGAGAAGTGAGATAGGCAGCTTCTGGACAGTGTGCCCAGAGCAGCTTGGCACATGTCTGTGTGCTTGCTGGACTGTGTGGAGCTAGTGTCCAAATGGGATTCATCCATGGAGCAGCAGGAAAGGAGGAACCTGGGCCATCTCCTAAGGCCCCTTTAAAAAGAGCCTGGCATGGTGGCTCACAGATATAATCCCAGCACTTTGAGAGGCTGAGGCAGGAGGATTGCTTTGAATTCAAGGCTAGCTTGAGCTATAGCCTGGGTTGCAGAGTGAGGCCCCGTCTTGACCTCCCCACATCCTCCCAAATAAAACTAAATCAGGAAAACAGCAGGTTGCATTGCTATCCGATGCACTGACCTTGTCCTCGGGTGGTGCCCCTTCATTATTCCAAGGGTGCAGCATCTCTATGGTGCCAGGAATGGCGGTGAAGCCTTTGGCGCCCTCTCCACAATGGCATATCAGTAGTAGGAGCGGCACGACTGCACAGAAGCAAAACAGCCCAGAGATGCGTTTATAACCCGACACTGCTCATTGTGGCATTCACATATGACTTCTTGATGCTCACACATTTGAAGCCCTGCTATGCTGTCTGGCCTCACCCAGGGCTCCAAGCTTGCTTTGGTGGAACCCCCTCAAAGCCTGAAGGCAGGAAGGAGTCTTCTGACTCCAAGATCTTGTCATCACAGTCAAGAGTAGTCTGTCTCTGACTACTGAGTAGAACACTGTGACTGGATGAGAGTGTGTGAAAATTAGCAAAACCACTGTAAAGTCGAAAATGTTTGAAACTACTGTCCTAAAATCTGTAAATCTGTTGCCCAAAAGATATGCATTATAGAGGTCAAAGGCACCTCAGAGCTTGGGAGGCTGAGGCAGGAGGATTGCTGTGAGTTACAGGCCAGCCTGGGCTAGAGTGAAGCCTTCTATAAAAAACAAAAACAACCCCCCAACAACAACAGCAACAAATCAAAAACTCTTAAGAGTAGAAAAAATCTAAATATTAAATCTACGTGTAACTATTTTCAAACACTGACACTGCTGTTACACTTGGCTGGTGGGACTTTGTAGAAGGCACGATTCTCTGGTATTTCATTTTACCTTTGAATTACCTAAGTGCCATTTTCTTTTCTTTTCTTTTTGAGGCAGGGTCTTATATAGTCTGGCTTTGAACTTAGCATGTAATGAAGATGACCTTGAAGTCATGGCCCTTCTGCATCTATTTCCAAGTGCTAGGATTATAGACACGTACTTCCATGCCCAGTTTTGTACAATTTGGAGATCAACTCAGGGCCTCATGCATGCTAAGCAAGCACTCTACCAACTGAGCTACATCCCCAGCCCTTAAGCACTGTTTTCTAAAATGATTTTTACATTTTATACCCTTAAACGTGTGTGTGTGTGTGTGTGTGTGTGTGTGTGCTATTTCATCTACAATTCACTTCAGTTTCATTCTGTCATTAAATTTTATTCTGTCTCTAGGGAGAAGAAAAGACCAGTGGTGGTCCCTTGATGACTGCAGTGAAGAATTAACCACATTTGTAAGCAGTCCACCCCAAATTAAGTTTTACTGTCATTCCCATTTGGCAGCTTAACAAATTGATTCTGTCTTAGATTCTTTTTCACATAAAATAACTGACAAAAAATCAGCTGGGCTGCTGCAATTAATTCAGAGATGGAAACCAGCCAGTGGCAACTGGACAGTTGCAGCAGGTTCCATCAGTATTAATTGAGCACCAGGTTAGACTCCAGGGAATCTGGGATGGGAAGGCAGGACACAGAATCAATCCTTGAGTAAAAGATGGAGCCCCCACCCAGTGATAAGCCAAGATATTCACCATTTCACGCCTGCATTTTTGATTCCCCATCAGAGGTGATGGGACAGAAGTCCACTGTAAACTGTTAAGTTCTGTGCACCTAACTAGACAACTACCAGTGGCTTCTCTTCTCTCACTGAGGTAGTCTAGGCTGCCTTAGAGGTGGAGATCCACCAAAGTTCAGTGACCATGTGGAGCAGGGCTGCACTGGATCCCAGGCTGAAGTTCCTTTCTTCTTTTCCAAAACCCAAGCTCTTTGGAGGAAGGGCAGGACTGGTTGGGTGGAGTTTGTCATGTGGGGGTGTACAAAGGTGCTCAGAAAAGGGGTGGCTCCAGCTGGTATGGGCCCGAGGAAACCCCAGCTGCAGGGAGGGAGGATGGGTGGGTGAAGGAGCCCGGTGTTGAGTGTGCAACTCAGGCAGATTGGAATAACCTGAGTTTGTAAAATAACCTTAAAGCCATGCTGCAAATGCAGGTGACAGGTCTTTTCTGAGGGCTACATGCAGGGCAGTGGGAGCATACCCAGAGGTTATCCAAATTATCCAAATGGGAATACCAGGAAGGCTCATGCCAAAGGCCGAAGAGCACGAGGCACACTCCAGTTATTTAAATCAAAGACTAGTACATTTTGTAAGACAAAATTCTCCATTGACTCCTGCAGTGAGCTCTGTTGGATTTATCACACATATTGGCTTATATTTCTACTCGCCCACCAGTGTCCTCTAGAGGGTAACGAACAACTGGAAAGACACTGTCGACTACCAGGGTGAGAACTCACTAACGACGGAACAAGCGAGGCCCTGAAGACTTACGCAGCAAGAGCAGAAAGGCCAGGATCATGAGGGCGACTGCGGCGGGGCCCAGGCCCACGTAGTTGTCGTACTGGGCTTCGGCACAGCCACCACCACGCAGACACTCGCACACCGTGAGCTGCAGGACCTGCCTCTCGGGGCAGCTGAGGCCCTGGCTGTCCAGAATCAGGAGCGGGATCTCGCTTCTCCCCAGCTTCTGCTCGCTGGGCTGCAGCAGCACGCTGGCACCTACCGGGGGAGGAGCAGGAATGAAGATGAACCCAGGAGGTATAAGCGGAGCAAGGCTCTTTATCTGGCTCCAGGCAGAAGCTTTATTTTTCCGTAACTCCTCACTGAGTTCACTCTGTGGCTCATTAGCATCGCCCACAGATCCAGAACAGCAGAGGCTCAGGTTTGGACACTTTTCATGATGATTAATCTTAGCAAATCTATGTGGTTTACAGAATGCTAGAACAGCACTGCACCATCCAGGTCGGTGGGAATGCAGCAACAGATATGGCGCGTTAAATAACATTCTCATTCAATGATGTTTTTCTTACCAAATCTTAAAAGAATGTTATCAAGGCAATTTTCAAATGTAGCAGAACCCACATGGTGTCTGTGATAATCGTCAACAATGGGCCTGTCTTATTTTTATATTGTTCTTTTTTTTTGTTCCAAACACTGTATAACCAAAAATCTGAAACTTCAAAATACCTATACACTCTTCACTAATTGCTTACATTTTGCAACAATACCTTCTCTTTCTGTATATGCTATTTGTTTCTTTTTCTTTAAATTACATTTATTTATTATTATTTATGTGTGTGTGTGTGTGTGTGTGTGTGTGTGTGTGTGTGTGTGTGTGTGTGTGCTTGCCATGGTGAGCAAGTGGAGGCCAGAGCTGGGTCCTGGGAATCAAGCTCAGATACTCAGGTGTGGTGCCAAGCATCTTTATCCACTGAACCATCTTGCTGACCTTGTATGTTTGAGACAAGGTCTTGCTCTGTAGCTCAGGCTAGCCTAGAATGTGATGTATTGCCAGTCTAATCTCAAACCTATGACACTCTTGCCTCTACCTCCGAAGTGCTAGGACTGTGTGATCCATTGTGCCTGGCTTGTCATGAGTACGAACAACAACAACAAAAAAACAAAACATTTTTCTGAACTGTCTAAGCCAAGCTACAGATGGTATGTCATTCTTCAGCATGGACCTTCTAAGACCAAGTAACATTAGTTCTTAAGAAATTTATTAGCCAGGTGTGGCGGCTCACTCCTATAATCCCAGTTCTCAGGAGCCTAAGACAGGAGGATTGTCATGAGTTGGAATTCAGCTTGGGTAACCCAGTGAGTTCCAAGCCAGCCTGGGCTACAGAGTGAGACCCTGTCTCAAAACTCCCCATAAAAAAATTTACTAGTGCTGGGCATGGTGGTACATGCCTTTAATCCCAGTACTTAGGAGGCAGAGGCAGGCGGATCTCTGTGAAATCCAGGTCTACATAGTGAGTTCCAGGCCAGTTGTGGCAACAGGGAGACTCTGTCCCAAAAAAACCAAAAAAAAAAAAAAAAGATTATTGATGATAAAATAATCATGTTACGAACTTTATAAATACAGTTTCAACTGTCCAAGGTATTTTCTTGTACATTGGCTTCAACAATATTCAAAGCCTTTTATATATATTTTTAATTTTTTTTATGAGTATATTGCCCGCATGTTTGTAAGTGCACCCATGTCATGCAGTGCCCGTAGAGGTCAGAAGAAGGCATTAGAATCCCTGGAACTGGAGTTAGGGACGGTTGTTAGCTTCCATGTGGGTGCTAGGAATTGAACCCAGGTCCTCTGTAAGAGCAGTTAGTTAGTGCTCTTAATTGCTGAACCATATCTCCAGTCCCTTCTTTTAAAATGATGGCAAATATTTGCTAGGCTTAAAACTCCATAATAGACCTGTAAATGAAGAAAAACCTGCTGACTGTGCTGTAACCTTCTGGAACGAACACTGCTCGCTACAACAGTTTCTCAATAGAACATTCTGCATTTGAGACTGCCCTCAAGGACACGCAAACGCTCACCAACAAGAGGAATAAGCCCAATTACAGACATACGACTGTATCTACTTGCATGGGGGTGATGTGACAGGCATAGCTTTTACCAGGTTGTCCCAGTCACAAGCTAGCTCTATGCGTTTCAGCACATTACTACAGCCCAGTTCAGCCAGTTTCCCACCTGTCATCGTGTTGAGCGAGGATGGAGTGTAATAATGTATGAGAGGGCCTGACACATAATAAATGCCCAATAAAAGTTACTTTAAATGGAATTACTGTTAGAACACTTCAAGAATCCATGATTGTTCTACCTAGGAAGGCTCTAGTCTCCTCAGATTGAGACAGAGTACTTCAAATTACATGGAGAATACCCAGCTCCCTTGAAGCATGCTAGACCATCATGCTTCCTTTCCAGAGGTATATAAAAGGTAGCAAGATACTACACCTGTAGGTTCAGAGCCTCATACTGTCAAATCCTTTAGAAATTATATTGGAAATATAATTTGAGAGAAGAAACACAATGTACATTATAAAGTATTTGTTAACCTCCATGCTTCATATTTAGATTTGAATGTAATTCAAATTGTTGCTTACTTTCTTGGTGTGTTATTTTCCATTTCTCTGCCGTTCCTGGTGGCTTGTCAATGATGGAGAAACTGAATGGCCCACTGTTCTTGGGTCCGTCCAGGTCCTCTGCAGTGACATTCACATATGGTGCATCATTACAGATATTCTGCACTGGCTCCACCAGCCTGGGACAATTGTCATTGATGTCTTCAACTGTGATAAGGACAGTGCCAGTGATAGTTTTTCTAGGATGATCTTAAAAATAAGCAGAAGAGAGTACATACTGTTATCATATTGCTGACTGTGGGCACAGTTTAAGTCTTCAAGTCAGTCTGGTGTAGGGCGGGGGCTAACCATTTCCTGTTCTAGCTAGGTCTCAAATTCAACTCATCAATGTGTTCTAAGTCACTAAATAGGTAGGGATATGAAGGCTCAGCCTCTGGAGAGATTAGGCTCTAAACGTAGTCGTAGTAAACGTTTCTGACAGTGGATGATGAAATCTGAATGCATTTGACCAAGAAAAATATCTGTGTATCAACTTACCATCAGATATGGCCACAACCTTTACAGTGTAGGTACCATTTTGGACATATCTAGATTCAAAATCAGGAATCTTTACAAGTTTAATTTCTGATGTGACAGAATCCACAGAGACCCAGTTGTCTATATCTTCAACTTTTGCGTATCTGTTATAAAAAACATGAAATTCCTTCTTAATTCTGGATAAATTTGGACCCTCTAATATCTACAACTCTTTCAAGATCAATTTTTACCCCATTACATATGTCCTTGTTACACACATTTTGTTGTTGTTTTTTTTGGAGGGGGGACAAGGTCTCCCTGTAGCCCCAGCTGGCCTTGAACTGACTATGTAGACCAGGCTGGCCCTGGATCTCACAGAGATCTGCCTGCCTCTGTCTCCTGAGTACTGAGATTAAAGGTGTGTATCTCCATGCCCCACTCACACATTGGTGTTGAATGATACAAGACAGGTGAGGATAGCAGGCTCACATTGTATTGTTTACTGGGATAGTATCAGTGTTTTTAAAATGCCAACTTTAAAAATCAATAGTTACCTTAAATGAAACAGTACCTAATATTGTGTATTGTTAGGAATGACAACTTTCTTTACCTAGCTATAGAAAGGAAGCAAAAATGTTCATATTGAATTTTCAGAAATGTATGTAATTAATACTATAGAGTTTAACACATAAAAAATACAGATACAAGCCAAACATATGAGTCTCTTCTTTCAGCCAATCAAATTAATGATATATTTTCTATTAAGTGGCTGTTCAGACACACAGGAATGGGTCGCCAGTTTACAGTAATATTTATACATGGCACTATTTGAAAATAATCCAATTACACTTGAACTACATGTTTTATGTTTCTTAGTATTTCTACCAGTAAATGATAACAGAGATAGGTATAGAGATACATGTTTCCCATACTGGCACATGTGAAACAACTTTAAAAAAACAAAACAGGTCAGTTCCAGCTCCAATGCTCCAAGTCCTAGAATCCACCACATGAAGGCTGGCTCTCACAGTTTGGAGCAAGTGCTAAGGGACATTAACTGATGGTCCAACTCCAGCTTTAAGGCCTAAAAACCACAACAACTGGCACAGCAAACTATATCAATGCAGTTGTGGCACTTTTATCTTGGGGGTCATCAACAGCTATCTAGTTGAACTTAAAGCCCATTTAATGGGAGGGAACTCTTACGTCATACTGTAAACAGCCAAATATACAAGGCTAGAGAGGTGGTCATAGAACTTAGAGAAAAACCTATGTCTGTCACATCCTTAGACAAATGTAATTTCTTACTATATGCTACACATGCATCCTTATATTTACGAACAAGTATTCCAGTCACCACTCCTAAAAGATGTTTCTTTTGCATCTATTATAGATGCAAAAGAGAGACTACCACAGAGTTCCACAACTGGTTACACACAGAGATTAAGTGTCTGTGAAATGCCCAACCCTAAATGACACAAATACAATAAAACCTTTACACCCAAGGCTCATGGAACATAGTAGAACAGAGGCAGAAAGAACATGAATACGTCTCTCAACTCTCATCAAGGAAGCTTTCTCATGCCACAGAGGGCAATGAACACAAAAGGCCACAAATAGCCACAAAAGCACAGAGAATAAGAGTCTACAGAGTGTGGGTCATTGGACAGGACTCTTATATTAAACTCTACCCACCCAGGGCTCAGGGACTATTGTGGAAGAGGGGGCAGAAAGATTGTAAGAGCCAGGGGAGAGGTGCATGACCATATGGAAACAGAGTCTTACAGGCTCCTCGGACCTTGCTCATATGAATTTATAGCAATGGTGTTAGCATGCACAAGATGCATGCAAACTGAAGCAGACAAACCCCAGCATGCAACTGGGGAAATGGGCATCAGGCCCCAACCTTAGCTGAAGAACTATTGGCAGCTGATTACTGCAGGGTGAGGAAGAATTTGGCTTCTTTAAGGGAGTGACTCTAGACAGCTTGACCAGACTCCAGTGGATGAACCTGCACTGGGGGACGTACAGGTACAGTAACTTGACTCCATGGACCTTCATATAAACAACAGAATGAATGAAATCTGGTGGGGAGATGTCTATGGGAGGGTGTGGCTAGGGGAGAAGGGTATAAAGATGATTAAGGTGTTTTGTATGAAATACACCAAAGTGTAATAAAAGATATTTTTAAAACCCCCCAAATTTGTGTACAGTGGAGTTTGGGACACATTCCTTTCTCCTTCTCTCTCTTTTCTTTCTTTCTTTCTTTCTTTCTTTCTTTCTTTCTTTCTTTCTTTCTTTCTTTCTTTCTTTCTTCCTTCCTTCCTTCCTTCCTTTCTTTCTTTTCCTTTCCTTTCTGAAAGGGTCTCACTACGTAGCCCAGGCTGGCAGGGAACTCAGGATCTTCCTGCCTCAGCCTCTGCAGTGTGACAGGTATGTGCTAGCATGGTTAGCAAGTGGCCCATTTCATCTGCAATTTCTTACCCTCTAGTACTCTGCTGGGAAGTAAGAGAATTTTAGTTATTTTCTGAACTTTTCCTTGATCACTTTTTGGTCTTCTCTAGGAGAATTTCCTCTGGTAACTGGCCCAGCCTCATCCTCACAAGTGGCTGAGGAAGTGTACAGAGAGAAACTCCTCCTCCTCCCTCAGTTAGAGGGAAGGGCTGTGTGAACGGACTTCACAGATCTTTGGAGAACTGGAATGCTGGTTCTGAAGGAATGGGCTGCCCAGATGTCTCTGAGTTTTATACGCAAGCATTTCAACAACAGGTGTGTGAAGTGATTGAAAATGTGGAAACACATTCAAGCCAAATCTTACTTTACATTGGCTGCTTGTCCAGTGTCTTCATCAAAAACTTGAAATTTTCCAATGGTCCGGCTCTGGCTGGATTTATCCATTCCTTCACTAGCCCAGACTGAGATTGTGCTGCTTTTAAAATGAATGCCTTCGGGCACGTTTTTCACCTTGATGGAGATGGGAATGGGTGTGGGCTTATACTTATCCCTGACCGACTTGTGAAAAGCTGCTTTGTTAGTGACAATGACACTCAAGTCCAGAGTCTTCATTTTCTCATAATCCAATTCCTAGAAAGGCAAAACCAAAATTAACAGAGAAAAGAACCAGAACACGGGAGCACACAGACACTGCACATGTGGCCGTAGGTAAGTTTGACATACGGGAGACACAGCTGCACTGTGTGTTCACACTTATACTGACTGACAAGCAAGTCCTGTTAACTGGGAAATTCATAAATGTGAGAGATATTTAGGAGGCTTTTGAAATTTTGTTTATTATTTATGTATGTATTTATTTATTTGAGACAGGGTCTCCTAATGTTGTTCTTGGCTGGCCTGGAACTCTTTGTAGATCAGGCTGGCCTTTGACTTGTGATGTTCTTCCTGCCTCTGCCTCCCATCTGCTGGGACTACAGGTGTATGCCACTATTTTCAGAAGTAAACATTTTTTGTGTCTAACAAGCTACTTTTTTTGTAATAAAAAAAGTAAGTACTTAGTCAAATTACTATTGCATAACATATACTTTTTGGGTTTGTTTTGGTGAGTGGGCATCACCAGTCAGCTCTGTCCTTTTGACAGACTCGTACTGCGGTGCCCACACACACAAAATCTGAGAATTCCTGGAGGGAAGAGAATGCCCGGGTATTTTTAAGTTTGCATAAATAAAGAACCTGCTTTATGCCCTTGTAGCACAGAGCCTATGAATAGCTCTCTGCTGCTGAGTCCAGGATTAGTCCTTCAAACAGCTCTCTCTAAACTGTGGTACTTACAATGCCCATTTGACAGTCTGTTTATCACTCTGTGCACAGCATATATTCCAGTTTCCCACTTTAAAATAAATATTTCTTCTGCAGTCTATTCAATGTACTTAGTCATTCTATTACTAGGCTTTGGGGCTATATGCCATTTTACATAAAATTAATACTGCTCTGAAAGTTTTTATGCATCTTTTTTTTCCCTCCATTGATCTACATCCTATTACTAAAAGAATCGCCCACTCCCATGTATTTAAGGGTCTAGTCTTTTACTGCAGTTTATTTCTAGTACCACTTTGTATAACAGCCTGAGAAACTAAGAGTTTTTTTCTGGATGTGTGCTTATCACTCTCACAGTTTTAATTTGCACCTTCCCTAATGACTCCGTGACCCTGGGCTCCTCTCCAGGGGAGCATGTACACTAGCTAACCTTCTTCTCTTTCTTTTCAATGGAATCTGATCACTGCCCTGGTAACTTGGAAGCACTTCTTTATATAAACAAGAAGCCAGTTTGAAATTTCCTCAGTCTGCTGCTTTTGCTGTAATATTAATTTTACTCAAAGATCTTTTTGACATGAGGTCTCATGAAGTCTAGGCTGGCTTCAAATTCAATATATAGCTGAGGATGACCTGCAACTCCTGATCTCCTGCCTCTACTGCCTGAGTGCTGAGATTACCGGTGGGTGTGTACCACATCGTTGGGTTAATGTGGTGCTGGCAGCTGGAGATGGAGCCTTGTGCATGCGAGGCAAATATGCTACCAACTGAGCTACACTACCAGCCAGTTTTACTATTTTATACACGTTCCTCCTGGCACAAGCACTAAATCCCTATTTTGTGCTATCAGAGCACAATGAAGATGCTTCCAAGCACCTCTGGATTCATTGGCATGTGATCGTTTCTTCTTATGCCATTGTGGATTTCAGCTTTGAGTGTGGCCGAGACCTTCTGGGGGGTGAGGACTGCGGCTTTTGCCAAAACTGCTGACTCAAAATTATGTTTATTTCTATAAAAGGAGATATATTTATTGGTCTCTAATGACATCACTCATTTCTTCAATGATCATAAAATATGTCTTCCCTTTAAACATGAAGCAATGTTATTCAATTTTTCTCTGCTTTTGAAAAGGTAGTTTAAATGTGTATGATAGCTTATCAATAAGTGGTGCCCTGAATTTCAAGTTAAGTTTTCTCTATTCATTTATACATGCATTTCTTTTTATACTGTTAGTTTACCTAATTTTATATGTCTTAAATATATATTTAACAAATTAAAAGTTTGTCCTTTCTGTCCTCAGGAAGTACTGGGAAGTTATATATGTATCAAACTTGTTTTGTTTAATTTTCTGATTTCATCTCAAATCCAGAATGTATAGCACCCTGTTAGAACTCTTTTGGACAGCGGGATTTACTTAGGTACTTTTGATTTGATACAGGGTCTCCCTGTAGCCTCAGCTGGCCTGGAACTCACTATGTAGATCAGGCTGGCCTTGAACTCACAAAGATCCATCTACCTCTGCCTCCTAAGTGCTGGGATTAAAGGCATGCGCCACCACACCCGGCTGAGATAGAATTTTAAAAGCTATAGTTTTATATTTTATTTAAAAACCTGGGGAGGTAATTCTAACAATTTAAAATATATTATTTCTTACTTATTTTGTTATATACAAATCCATCTTATAATTGAAAAAAAAATTCTGTGGGACTTGTAAGACCCAAATGAATCCATATGAGGTTTTTTTCTTTTTGAGACAGGACCTCACTTTGTAGTCCAGGCTGGCCCCAGCCTGCAGTCCAGGTTGGCCTTGAACTTTTGGCAATCCTCCCTCCCACTGCTGGTATTACAGGTATATCCAGCAACACTGTATTTCTGTTTTCCTTTTTTGGTGCTAGACTGAATCCAGGGCCTTGCGCAGGCTAGGCAAGCACTCTGTCACTGAGTGACACCCTCAACTTCATAGGCTAATTCAATTCTTCCTGCACTGATTCCATGAGGTACAGGAGAGCAGGCTACTATCTTCCCAAGTGAAGCCCCCAGAAGACATAAATAGACTCACAGTTGAATTTTTGCTTAAATGGCAAGTTCCTGGGGCTGGAGAGATGGTTCAGTAGTTAAGAGTATATACTGCTCTTGCAAAGGACCTGAGTTCAGTTCCCAGTACTCACACTGAGTCTTACAACTGCCTGTAACTCAGTTCCAAGGGAATTTGACACCTCTGGTCTCCTCAGGCACTGCACTCACATGCACACACCCATTCACAGACACACAAGCATACGTAAAATTAAAAATAAATCTATTTTTTTTAAAGGCAAGTTCCTAATAAGCCCCATGAGTCAGGGTCATGATGTGGGCATGCTGGGTAGCAGGTCTGACTAGAAGTGTACTAAGCAATTACGATGCTGGCATCAGGCTATGTGGCTGGGATCTGAGTTCCCTGATTAGCATTTGAACTGTAGTGTGACTGCTTCCTTCTGTAAGACTTGGGCCTGGAAGGATGCTTCCCCTTCCCAAACAATGGTGGTGCTGGTTGATTTATGCGTAAAGCACACGCTGTGAGAACATTAGCACCTCTTCTACAGCCATAATCCCGCCCCAATGTGAACACTCACAACTTACCTTGACAAGGGTCACAATCCCTTCATTAGTCTGAGCATCAGTCTCAATGTGGAAATAGCCCTCTTCATTTCCTGACGCAAATGTAAAATTTGCTAGCCAGTTGTCTGAGCCTATTTCATCCGCATCAGTCACTTTAATTCGCATAACTTCTACGTTGACTTGATTTTCTTCAACCATCCCTTCGTACTGCAAAACACAAACACATGATTTTTTTTTTATTTTAATGCAATATGAACTCAGATGATATACTTTTGGTTGGGACTCAAAAAAAGATCAGGTAAATGTTCTATAAAAACAAGTTACCATTTCACTTTCCACTACAGGTATATTGTCATTGACATCCAAAATCTGAATCTGAACTTGAGCCTGCTGGACTGGCTTATCTGTGATCTTTCCATCATCATCTCTGGCCTCCACAATCAAAGAGTAGCTGCTGTGTTCCTGTAGAAGAAGAAGTGAAAAAGAATGAACTGGGGTCAAAGTGAGTTGCTCCACTCTGCCTTTCTGATTTGGGTTCATTTTATTCCAAGGCAATGGACCATATGAATTTTATCCATAACTCAGTTTCATGATCTTTTATTGTTGGTGTGGAGATGCTATTTATTTGTAGTTAGAACTTTCACAGCAGGGCAGAAAAGCCTGGGGGAGTTACTGACAAGTTAAATCAAAGGCACACTACTCAAGATGTAGTGAATTTTACATTGAAAGTGATGATGGAACTGTAGGAATTGGTTATTTTCTGCCTTACCTTTTATTCCATGCCCAGACTTTATGAACTTTTGAAAATTAATCTTCCCTTCCTCCCTTCCTTCATTCCTTCTTGGGGGGGGGTCTTGCCTATATAGCTCAGGCTAGCCTGGAACTCAGTATGTGGATCAGGCTGGCTTTGAACCTGTGGTGATCCTTCTGCCTCAGTCTCCCAAGGGCTGGGATTGCAAGTGTGCTCCATATCCTTGTCTGATGATAATATTTTACATTCCTTTTTTCCTACTAAGTCTTCTCAATCTGGTACACATTTTACCCATTTCAATATGGATACAGTGCACCTCACTTTGGACTAGTCACATTCCAAACTCTCAGTAGCCACATATGACTAATGACTATTGTAGTGGACAGCACATCCCTAAGACATAGGGTCACTCTGTGAATGAGGATACACATTAACATATGAAAGATTTGAAAATAAAAATAAGGAGAGCAGAGAAGCTGAAGAGAAGAGGAAGGAGTGCAGAAGCCAGGCAATGCCAACCTACCTCTCTGTCCAGTGTGACACTGGTTGTGTAAATCTCCCCAGTTTCTCTATTCAGGTGGAACACTGCAGGGTTTGTGGGCTCCTGAGATACGATTCTGTAGGCGATCTTCGAATTCAGAGTATTGGGCTCATCTGCATCCGTTGCGGTGATTTTCATCACAAGTGTATCTGGCATTAGAGATGAAGGTGTCAAAGTGAGTGCACTTACAAATGGGTTACTATTTTATTCTTTCAGCTTGTTTTTAGAAGGATTTGGGGTGCTAATCAAAGTCACAGATTCTCACAATAAAAAATTTGGATGAAGGCTGGTGAGATGGCTCCATGAGTAAAGGACTTGCTACCAAGACTGACCACCAGAGGGAGTTTCATCCCTAGGACCCATATGGTGGAAGGAGAGACCTGATCCCCACAGGCGTGTATGCAGGACATACACACACACACACACACACACACACACACACACACACACACTTAACTAATTGATGAAATGAGTGTGAAATGAGATCAGGGCAAGGTGAGTTCAGAGTTAAGTCTTGTAAAATTGCTACAGAGGGATCACAGAGATGGCTCAGTGGATAAAGGCACTTGCTGTGATGATCTGAGTTCATCTGTGAAACCCATGTAAAGGTAGAAGGAGAGCACAGAGTTATCCTCTGATCTTCAGTGTGGCACGCATTCCCACATATTCAGGCATGCACACAGTACTATGTTTTTAAAAATTGCTGTAGGAAGGCCCACAGATTTGATCTAATAGCCAAGATTGAGCAAGACTCGTGAGCTGATACATGACCTTGATGTTTACTAAGATAAATTATGAGTACAACTATTCTTTTTATTATTACCAATCAGAAACCCCTCCTTCAAGGTCTTAGACAGAGCACTGCCTTGAACAACACTGTCAATAAACCTTACAGTAAAAGTAATATAAATCAACAGTCAACAACTGAATCCACCCAGTGGCCCAAAGCTAACTGGCTACTTGTTCTTGCTCATAAAGTTTTATTGGAACACAACCAGGTTTGTTTGTTACATAGTGTCACAGCTGGCTTCCTGTTACACAGTAGGCTTAAATAGTTGCTATGGAAATCTTACTTGATCTATCAATCTACTATTGTCTTCTATAACACTCAAGATACTTAAGGTCCTTCAAATTTATATTATTAAAAGTGATCCAAACCTGTAGTCATAAGATGATTATATTTGTCCTGTGACAACTTTTATTAAGAGAGAGAATTTGATGTTTATTTACAGGAAATAAAAATGCCTTTGGTTGCTTATTCATACTGAGCCATAGACCTGAGATGGAGGGATGGCTCAGTGGTTAAAAGCACTTACTACTCTTGCAGAGGACTCAGGTTCAGTTCCCAGTACCCGTATCGGGTGGGTCATAATGCCTATAACTCCAGTTTCAGGGGCTCTGTTGTCCTCTCTGACCTCCATGGGCACCTGCACACATGGGCACATATGAGCAGACACACACATACACATAGAATTGAAAAGAAAAAAAATAGACTCGTACATGCTGCACTCAACTCTTCAACAGACCCAACAAAGACCTCCTGTGTGAACACGGGTTCATTGTCGTTGATGTCAAGAACTTTGATGCGAAGTTCTAATGGCTTCTCCAGGTTGTTTCCTCTTGAGTCCAAAGCATAAGCCGTTAGCTGAAATCATGACACAAATAATAATGGGTTTTAAGCTCAAGCAAATCAGTTGCTATTGTATAAAAGGGAAGCATAATTATTATCAAAGAGGAACTATAAATAAAGGTAAAACAATTCCTTCTTACCAGAAAAAACGGTGTTTGTTCTCGATCAAGAATGCTGGTAATGTTCAGATCTCCTGTGTTTTTATCAAAGACAAATATACCAAAAGGTGGCTCTGTAATCCCTTTTCCAGTGTATTTGTAGGTAATTTTTAGTCCTCTTTCTTCTGCAATATCAGAATGAATCTAACATAAAAAGATCAGAGCAATGTCTTGGCTTACATTCTTCATCATGCGTATGATAATATTTTAATGACAACATCTCTGTAGCTGTCATGCGTGGGACAGGAGGCAGGGGCCTGGGACCTGTGCTAGTGTCAGGGAACTGCATTCTAATGTTTCTTAGCACACACAAGTTCTGTGACACTGACTGGTTACTCTGCTTTCTAGGGCCTCACTTTTCTTATATAAAGGATGATATGGCAGTGCTCACCTTTTAGGGTTATCCTGAAATTAAGATACAGTTGGGGTACATCTTAGAGGGAGGTAGGCTTTATTCATTTTTAGTTCTGGGTATAGAAAGCAGGGCCTTATGCAAGCTAGCCAAATGCTCTATGCTGAGCTTCCCCCAGGGAGTAGATTTTATGAGATAGGACCTCATGTAGCCCAGGCTCACCTCGAAGTTACTCTACAGCGGAGGATGATCTTGAACTTCTGATCCTCCTGCCTCTACCTCCTATGTGCTGGGATTATAGGCAAGATCCACCATGCCTGACTGGGGCCGGGGGGTGGGGTGGGGTATTTTAAACTTGGCACATACAGCAAAAACTTCAGAGTCAAAAATCACTTTCATAAGTACATTCAATTGTTTGTAAAGTATTAACAGTTCCAGAGAGGGATGAACACGAAGCAAACACTTTCCAGTTTGGAATACCTCAGCCAATCAATGACACGTCTAACCCACTGGGTCCTCCCAGCTTGCTTCTTTCCTATGCGCAACTGTATTCATAGCTACGTGTTCTCGATCTTCCACAGCCCTATGGGTGTCTCAAGTCTTTCTTCACACATTACTGAAGACCTAATTACCTGTCTGGCCAGTTTTTTGACCTGAAAGTTCAGGATTGGCAACACATTCTTCCAGTGAAATCCTACTCCTTGGCCCCTTGCCCTGGACTCCCAAGACCCCTGCCCCTCTTTAGGACTAACTGCCCTTTTTTGCTTCTGTAAACTGCTTGACTGCTTGGCTGAAGGGACAAACTGCCTTGATCTCATCCCATTTTTGACTAGCTGTTTCAGGCAAGCCTGAACATACCCAGGCATGCTGTAATCTCCACCTACCACCCCCACCCCAAGAGGCTGTAAGCTCAAGCAAGCCCAGGCCTATGGCAGCCTTATAAGGTAAAAACAGAGACTTCTGGCCCCACAGGTAACAGTCAGCACATTCCACAGCCCTGAGGGTAGCACTCACCAATGAGAAAACCTCCAGAATTGCATCCCTTGTAACCAATCAATTCAAAAGCATGTTGGCACGTGCGGGCTCTCTGGATCAATCAAGATGTGACTCTGTTATTCTCCTCCCCCCTTTGTCTAAAACCTATAGAAAGCTTCCACACCCCCTGCAACCGGGACTCTCAGGCAGACATGCCACGTTGGTTTGGTCTGAGAGTCTGAACTTAAGCCCGAATAAAGACTTTTTGTTTTTGCATGCTCTCTGGACTCCGTGGTAATTCTTGGGGATCCGTTCCTTGGGCATAACATTTGGGGGCTCGTCTGGGATCCCCAAGACACCCCCACCCCCGCCACTGGACCCCAGAGTGTAGAGTCTACCTGATCCGATCGGTGAGTGTTTCTTGTCTTTGTGTCTTTCATTCCTGTGCGCTTCTGGTTTGGTTTTTGGGCCCAGTTTCCTGATTGCCTGTTGGAGGTCTAGGCAGATGTGCTGGAAGGCCCCAGGCCGTGGGACTCAGGAGACGTCCCGGACCCACCCGATGGGGATTGGATTCCCTTGGTAGACTTGGAAGGATGGAGCAGGTCACGCCCCCCAGGAGGCGAGAGGCCATCATCCTACTTTCAGTTTAAGGCGCCAATTAACTGTGTGTTGTTTTTCTGTGTGTGCTTTTTGTTGTGTTTGTGACTCTCACTGCATTAGAAGAACTGGGACAGAACCAAGTAACTCCTCTCAGCCTTTTTCAGGATCATTTCTTGGAGTTCAGAGCCCAGGCTGATAGCCTGGGGTTAAGAGTAAAGAAAGGGAAGCTCTTTGTGTTTTGCAGGAATGAATGGCCAACTTTTGGGGCCGGCTGGCCTGAAGAGGGGACATTCAACCTGCCCACCACGCCTCCAAAATGGTTAAAGCCTTTCCTTCCTCCTCCCCCCACTGGCCCAAAGTTGACTGTCCTTACCCTACACGAGGATGAGTGGCAGAGAAATGAAACTAAGCCCTCTGACTACATCACAACTTGGCAGGTTATGGTGGAGGAGCCTCCAAAATGGTTAAAGCCGTTCCTCCTCCCCCCACTAGCTCAAAGCTGACTGTCCTTACCCTGTGCAAGGATGAGTGGCAGAAGACATCCCAGGGGAGGCGGAGGCAGCCCCACCCCAGGAGGCAGAAGAACACCCTCCCCAGACACGGAGGAGTGTCCAAAGGGGGCAGCCACGGCTGGTGGCAGATTCTACTGTCCTCCCTCTCCAGGCTGTGGGGCCGCTCACTGAAGCGGGGCGCTTGAGCCACCCCCCATCAGCCTGTTCCACAAGCAGAACCTCAGGACACCCTAGGCGAGGTGGAGGCAGCCCCACCCCGGGAGGCAGAAGAACAGCCTCCCCAGACACGGAGGAGAGTCCAAAGGGGGCAGCCACGGCTGGTGGAAGACTCTACTGTCCTCCCTCTTCGGGCTGTGGGGCCGAAACAGCTAAATTCTCTGAAAAGCCCCAAGGTCTAACTGATTTGCTAGAATCTGTTTTGTTTACCCAAAAGCCCACTTGCGATGATAGTCAGCAGGTTTTGCAGGCCCTGTTCACCACTGAAGAGAGACCAGATCCTGGTTGAAGCCTGCAAGCTTATATTCAGCAGCTTTTGCAGGTCCTGTTCACCACTGAAGAAAGAGACCAGATTCAGGTTGAAGCCCGCAAGCTGGTTCCTGGGGTGGATGGGAATCAGGCCCTGATAGATGAAGCCTTTCCCCTGGTTAGGCTGAATTGGGACTTCAATGTGGCTGAAGGTAAGGAGAGGCTCCGGGTCTACCATCAGACTTTAATGGGGGGTTTCCAGGCGGCCACAAGGCATCTGACCAATTTGGCTAAGATTAGTGATGTACAGCAAGGGAGGGCAGAATCACCCACAGCATTTCTAGAAAGGATCCTCAAGGTGTTCCGCACCTATACGCCAATGGACCCGGAAGCACCCGAGAATAAGAATGCAGTGATCCTGGTGTTCGTGAACCAGTCAGCACCCAATATTAGGTGCAAATTACAGAAATTGGATAGACTGGCTGATAAAACCTTGCCAGAGCTTCTGGCGGTGGCTGAGAGAGTTTACAACCACCGAGAGAGTCCCGAAGACAAGCAGGCCCAGGTAGCTGCCACTGGCAGCACCAAGCAAACCTGCGACTTTGCCAAGATTCTCCTGGCCACATCGACCAGGTCCCCAGGCGAAAGAGAACATCAGCTGCCATGCCTATCGGCTGAACAAGGTAGGAAATGCCCGGAAGGGCGACCAAAACTGATGAAAAACCAATGCGCCTATTGTAAAAAAATGGGCCATTGGAAGAAGGAATGTCCAGAAAGACCAGCCGGACAGGAGCAGGTCTGTGAAGGAATACAAGTCCTGGAGCTTAGGGAATGGAGCGAATAGGGAGAATGGGGTTTGGATCCCCTCCCCGAGCCCAGCACAACTCTTAGAGTGCAGGGGACACCTATGAGTTTCCATGTAGACACAGGTGCTCAACATTCAGTGTTAACAGAGACCCGAGGAAAATTAGCAAACAAAAAGTCCTGGGTACAGGGAGCAACTGGCATGAACGAATATTCATGGACCACCCGAAGAAAAGTGGACCTAGGCATGGGCTGGGTGTCCCACTCCTTCCTAGTCATGCCAGATTGCCCCTACCCACTCTTAGGTAGAGACTTGCTTACCAAAATTGGAGCCCATATCCATTTTTCACCTAATGGGGCTTACTTAATGGATCAGGGGGGCCTCCCCGTTCAGGTATTAACCCTACAGTTGGAAGATGAGTCCCCTTGCATCAGGGACCTGCCCTGCAGCTGGAAGAGGAGGTTTCTGTCTAGCTGTGGTAGTTCCCCTTGGCATGGGCCGAGACTGGGGGGATAGGACTAGCAGCCCATCGGCCTCCTGTCTGGGTAGAGGTGAAACCGGGAGCACTTCCAGCTCGGGTGAAGCAGTATCCCATGTCTCACGAAGCCAGGTCAGGGATTACCCCACACATCTGGAGGCTAAGAGACCAGGGCATCCTAGTACCTTGCAGGTCTGCATGGAATACACCTCTCCTTCCGGTAAAGAAGCCTCAAATGATTACTGGCCAGTACAGGATCTGAGAGAAGTAAATAAGCAGGTCATGGATATCCATCCCATGGTGCCTAATCCCTATATCCTCCTGAGCTCCTTGCCGCCCTCCAGGAGCTGGTATACTGTACTAGATTTAAAGGATACCTTCTTTAGCCTGCCCTTAGCCAAGGATAGCCAGCCATTTTTCGCCTTTGAATGGCAAGACCTGGAGATCGGCTTCAACGGACAATGAGATCGGCTTCAATGGACAACTGACCTGGACTCGCCTGCCTCAGGATCCAAAAACTCACCCATTCTCTTCGATGAGACACTTCATGAAGATTTGGGTGAGTACAGGCTGGAACACCCCCAGCTCACCCTACTGCAGTATGAAGATGACATCCTGATAGCTGCTGATCACGCTCTACTATGTCAGCAAGGAACTAGGGATTTGTTGGCAACTCTGGGCAGGCTAGGATATCAGGCATCTGCTAAGAAGGCACAAATGTGTCATCAAAAAGTGATTTATCTAGGGTACAATCTAAAGGAAGGACAAAGATGGCTCACAGATACCAGGAAAGAAACAGTGCTGAAAATTCCGGTTCCCAACTCCCGGAGAGCAGTGAGGGAGTTTCTGGTATCAGCAGGGTTCTGCCACCTCTGGATCCCGGGGTTTGCTGAATTGGCTAAGTCTCTCTTTCGTTTGGACGGGGGAAAGAGAAAGGGCCTTTAATGAAATTAAGCA